GTGTGTGTGTGTATGTGTGTGTGTGTGGGACAAGGCTTCAAATAATTAAAATTCAGCGAACAGATAATAGCAGCCCTAGTGTATTCCAAATGAGTACACATGTATGTGTGTGTATACGCGCCCATATGCTGTCACTCTCACATACACCGACAGAAGGACACATACAAAAGTTATACCCTGTTTGTTTTTTCCTCGACATATTTCTGTAGGATGTGATGTATTGGTAACAAAAGCAGCAAAACCACGCGAGCTAGAGGATGGATGACAAGTTTTGATTCAGTCCTAGGTAGATCAACAAACTGTTCTCATTACGGACTGTCATGGCCTCTTCTCTTTGCTTTCTATTAAAATGTCGCTGCGCTAGTGAGAACCGTGGGTGAGCAAATGAAGGACAAAGCACCAGCCTCGCTATAGTTGAGTGTGCACGCAACCTTTCCCTCCTTGTCATTCATTTGGTTTCAAATGCATGTACATGTAGATTCGAATGGCTTACTCCATGGTGAACCCGAATTACGTCAAAGTGCACAGTGTTTGGTATTATAATACACGCCTGTGGTAGAAATACGTCAATCGTAAAACAAAGACGAAACATTTGAAATCTCGATAGCATCTGCTGTTCTTCTCAAAGATAATTTTATTATATTGTCACTTTTGGAGTTTCCAAAGAATATTGTGAAAATCAACTCAAAGAATGTTTATTTTATCACCTTTACTTTGCATTTAAGGATCTCTGAAACTTTTTAAAAATCTTAATTTTGCACCAACAAAAAATTACATATCTATCTTGACCCTTGTAGGTGTCGGAGTTCTATTGTGTTACATTTGTAACGCCACGTTTTTTGGCGCCTGTCTGACGTACCACGGACGCCGGGTGTACAGTAGCCGGCACACGATCACATGCCGCAAGCTGGACCAATCACGACCCGAGCTGAAGGAAGAGGGCCACAAGTGCTGCTACATCTGCATGTGCGGGGGTGCCACACCGAAGGGCCCTGGGGATGATCAAAGCCCTTGTGAAAAAGGACCGAGATCGGCCCTCACAAGGTAAGACCATAGACTTACTGTTCCTATTGCATTCGAACCTGTGTAAGACAGGGGAATTTTTGGGGG